GAGAGAGAGATGAGAGAGAGAGAGAGAGATGAAGAGAGAACGAGAGAGAGAGAGAGAGAGAGAGAGAGAGAGGGAGAGGAGAAGAGAGAGAGACCCGAGAGGAGAGAGGATGAGAAGTGGGGGGGGGGTGGGGGGTGGTGGGGGGGGTGGGGTGGCACAAGAGACCTTCAAATCCCCCCACTGGAGGAGAAGGAGGAAAGGGGGGGGCAAGGGGGGGAATGGGCGGGGGCGGGGAGGGGGGGAGGGATCCTCACTGCGTGTTCGCAGCGCATTCAAGCTGCGCGCTTCCTTGCGCACCGATTGGAAGGAGAAGGGGGCGAAGGGAAACGGAATATCATTGCGCGCCCCCCCCCCCCACCCACACACCACCACCGCCACCGCCGCCGCCCCCGCCCCCACCCGCGCCTACCAACGCCGCCACCAACCACCCCACCACCGCCGCACCGCCGCCACACCTCCACCCACCCACCCACCCACCCCCCCACCCGCCCACCAACCACCCACCACCCACCCACACCAAACACATGCCACACAAACACACACATACGCACACACGCAACACAAACACACGCAACACACACACGCACACACACACACACACACGCACACGCAACGCACACGCACGCACGCACGCACAGCGCACACGCACGCACACACACACACCCACAAACACACACACACACACACACACACACACACACAAACACACACACACACACACACACCGCTCGCGCACCGCCACGCACGCGCACGCACGCACGCACGCACGACACGCACACACAACACAACACACACACCACACACACACACACACGACACGATTACACACACACACACACACACACACACCACCACACCACCACCACACCACCCACCACCACCACCACACCACCACCGCCACCAACCACCACCACCCCACCCCACACCACCCACTTGCGTTTTACGTGCACTCTTTTTCCATGAGGAGGAAGGGGGGGAGAAGGTGAAATCTGCATTTGCGTTCTTTACTATAATCATTGTGCCCACGCTGCTAGTTCGATTGGGGGGGGGGGGGGGGGGGATCGGCTCCTGACACCCCCACCACCCCCTTCCGCATTTACCCAACCTCACCAACTTTCTGCGGCCCCCCCCCCCCCCCCCCCCCCCGCCCCCCCCACGCGCGGGCTCCGCGACGCAGGGTAAGAGAGGAGGGCGATGGGGGGCGAAGCACAAAAGATGGGCAGGGGCGATGGGGAGGGGCGAGGGGGATGGGGGGGGGGGGGCGACGTGGAAGGGACTTCCAACCGGTCGGTTTTCAATCGATTGGCTTGCGATCGATTGGAGCGCAACCTATTTGGTGGCAACCGATCGGCTTTCATTCCAATCAATTGGATAGCAACCGGTTGGACTGCAATCGATTGGACCGCAATCGACTGCACTCCGACTGTCTGCGCGGCATGAAGAGGAAACAAGAACAGGAGGACGAGGAGAATGATGATGAGGGCGCCCTTCCAGTCCGTCGTCTGGGGGCGCTGGGGGGAGGGGGGGCGCGGTCGCCCCCTCCCCCCAGCGCCCCCAGACCACCCGAACTCACAGGACCTCCATTGATCGTTCGCTCGTCGTCGTCATCCTCCTTCTCCTCCTCCTCCTCCTTCACCTGCTCCCCCATTCTTTCTCCTCGATTGCCATCAAAACCAGCGAGAACGCAAAAGCCCTGCCCCCCCCCCCCCCCCCCCCCCCCAATATACATATATATATATATATACATATATATATATATATATGTGCCCGGGGAACTCCTGGGGGGGGGGGCCGGCCGAGGTACTCCGGAACTCATCGGTTCCAAATGGTTTCGCTGTTTTTTTTCGCGCGTCGCTGACTTTTCGCGGGCGCCCGCGCGCTTCCGGAAAAGAAGGGGGAAGAAGTGGAATGAAGAAGAAGCGTCGATGGCAAAGTCTTCTTCTTGTGCGACGAGGGAAAGCAGGGGCGCCGACGCGCCCGCGTACCCACATGCATGCGCATATGAATCCGACGTGCGGTTCCCGCGCTGCGCCCCATAATCTGCGCGCCCCGCATTCACCCCATGTTCTCCGAACAAAGACGCGGCGGTCACTGGCGGGGCGCCGTGGAACGAACGGCGCAGCGCATTTCCCCGCGCGTTCGAATCTCCGCGACCGCGCGGCCCGATGACCTCCGCGTCGTCGCAAAGAACCCGCCTGCAGGGAAATGCGCTCGCATCCACCCCCACGATCACTCGTCTCCTCTGAGCCACGGCGTCCAAGATCACCGCGCCCAGGCCCTGGGGCCCCGCCTCGAAGACCTCGCCCTCGCGCCCTCCATGGCGCAAGAGCGAGGGCACAATATGCAAAACCATACTACAATCATGCGATGTGAAATCCTCAAACCACGCCCGCGCATTAATCGCGGCCGAAAAAATCGCCCCCCACGCCTTTCAATCCCAACTGCCTGCGCAGCGCCATGCCGGCCGAACAGGCCGCGTGGACCTCTTGGGATCTGAATAACAGATGCCAACTATTCAACATCATTTTCCGCGGCGCTTGCCGCGGGGGGGGGGCCCTCGAAAAAGCCCACATCCAAAGCGGCCCGTTGCATCGGGAACGCCCGCAACATCAAGGTGCATCAAGTATACGCCCATATGCAAAGCTTTGAAATGCTCCGCGCCTCGCCCAGTGCATTTCGAATTCGCCCCCTTGCCCCCTGAGAAACCAGCCTGGCTTCGAAGCTCCCGCTTCGCCATCCTAGCGAATCCACAAAACGGCATCGGCGCATTACAGCAGATTCTCGCATGGACACCCGCGCCGTTTCCTAGCGACGCCTCGGCCGCCCCGGCCTCGAATTCAACGGCGAACAATTGGTCGAATTGGTCGCCCCATCCTACCCCCATCCATCCCCAACCGTCTCCATTCTACCATCTGCCCATGCCGCCGCCCTCTAATCTTCATACCAAACCACTCCCTTCGAGTAGTAGGCGTCGACGTCCTTCACTGCGTCGCCACCCCGCTCTTCTCGTTGATCGTGCGCACCATCGCCCTGACAGCGCGATTCTTCATCAAATCCTCCGGCTCGGGATCTATCGCTTCATCGTCAGTGATGCAGTACTCCTCCGTGCCCTTGTACTCGTGCACGCAGTCCCCCGCGCGCTTGTTCCTGTAGATCCGCGTGACCTCCGAAGTTTTGATTCTGACACCGTCCCTCTCTGTGAACTGTTTTCTAACGTGCAAAAATATCCTCACGTCCCGCTGGGCTTCGGCCAGCACAACCCTAGGAATTCAACGATGTACTCATCCTCTCTGTCCCTGGGAACTTTCCCAACGAACGAGACCACTTCTCATCTACCACGCCGTCGGCCGCAAACTCGCCTTTTCCCCTTACCCTTGGTGTGGAAAGTCACTGCTGTCATCGAGGCCCCAGCCCCCGTCATACCGTGCGCCTGCGCCCAGGACCGGAAAGTCTTGAACTCCTTCTCTGAATCGTCTAACCTCAACATGGTTGGCTGCATATTCTTGCCCTGTCGCCCCAAATCCCTGACCTCCGCTTCCGCTGTAATAGCCATCGAATTCGCTTCGTTGACCTCGGAGGTAAAATTCTCGATCTAGTGAATGGTGTGTTTCATGGGAGCCTTCTGCATCGCGACCGCCCGATCTGGCATCCCTGGCACCTTCGTTACCTTCTTCCACGCGGTACGTCAGTTGATGCGCGTTGTTACGTCTTGCCGACCTCTTGGACCGCGCGCGGATGCGTGAGACGGTCGGTGACCTCCTAGCTTGCCTAGCTTGCTTGGACCTGTTTCAACCTGTTTGCTTAAACCTGCTTGCGGGGGGAAGGACGGTTTGCAACGACGCATAAAGCGGAGACTTGGGACGGGAGAGTGCGTTGCAGCATCGTTGATGCATCTTGGGTCCCTCTCTCGCCAACTCAATGCATCCTTTCCCCCCCTTGCCCTTCCATCCCTCCCCTGCTGTTCCGCCACTTCCGTCGTCATCGTCGTCGCAAATCCCTGTTCCTTATACATAATTCCTCCCTGTCTCACCCCGAGACGTGTCGGTAGGGCGTGCTGGGCGTTTCGCCTGAGACCTCACCACATATGACCTTGAAGTTTACGGATGGAGGCGGGTGGTTTTCAAAATGTGGCCCTTGCCTTGGCGCCGCGCACATTCGGTTTAAAAGTTTGCAGGAATTTCACGAATGGTGGGCGGGTCGTTTTCACGATGTTGCTCTCGCCGGGGCGCCGCGCACATTCGTTGTCAGAGGCTGCACGAAATTCGCGCATGGGGAGGGCGGGTGGTTATCAAAATATGGTTTTCACCTTTGCGACGCGTTTCTTAGTTTGAACATGCTGCAAGAACTTCACGGATGGAGGTCGAATAGTTTTCAACATAGGGTTCTGACCTTAGCGCAGCGCACACTCGTCTTGAAAAGCGTGCAAGAGCTTCACGGCTGGAGGGTGGCTCTTTTTCAAAGTGCGGCTATTGATGTAGCGCCGCGCCAATTCGTCTGAAACGTGTGCGACAGCCTCACGGATGGAGGGCGGGCCGTTTGTTCAACATGGTTCTCGCCTTCGCGCTGCGCACATTCGTACTGGAAGTTACCAGCAGTTCCAAATATTCACACGGCTGATATCTCAGAAACGGGGTTCCGGCACGGCTTAGGACTGTCAGGGGACAACTGTCACATTGGTTCGTGGTGCTGGCATTCCAAAAATGGTGTCTTAGCGCGATTCAGGATCCTCAGGGCGAATCGCTAACGTAGACTCACATCATTGAAATCCCAAGAACGGTGTTTGGGCACGACTGGGGGTTATCAGACGGTGATCTTCCAACGGGGCACTTCCCGCAGGGAACACCTTGGAGACCCCTACGAAGAGGGAGCTTGGCGGGAGGGTGTATTGCAGCATCGTTGATGCGTCTTGGGTTCACCCTGGCCCTCCTCCTCCTTCCTCCTCACTTCGGTCCTCGCCTTTGTCCGCGTCTTCGCCCTCCCCGCTTTACGTGCAACGCGTCCTGGGCCTGCCGTGGAGCAGCAGCCGAAGCGCGTCGGGGACCACGCAGAGCATGACGTCCTCGTGGGAGCCGCCAGGGACACGGAAGAGTTCGCTGCCCAGCGGCAATTGTTCCATCAGCCACTCCGCGCACGCCACGGGTACGGTTGCGTCGGCGTCGCCATGGAACAGGGCCTCGGATGCCCAAAGGAGAAAGGAGGAGTGGGAACCGTCCGACCCCAGAAGCATGAATCCCAAAATGCGGACGCCTGGTGTGCACTTCCACCGACGTCTGCCGACCTGCCGCCAGCTTCCGCCGACGCACCCGCCGCCGTTTTCCCGCTGAGGGCGAGAGTCGCCGAAGGCCAGACCCTTTCTGGAGCGTTCACGACACACACACACACAAACACACACACACACACTTTGAAATCGGCGGCGCAAAGGAGCCTCAGGCGCGGTCAGCAGATGGAAGTGCGAATTGCGAACAAACTTTGTCGTAACGCGCAGTAGAGGAAGCACCCAAGACTGCAGCGCAAAGGAGCGGGTGGAAGTGAGGGGCCGTAGACCCAAGACATGCAGCGGCCAACACACACACACATGCACGCACGCACGCACGCACGCACGCACGCACGCACGCACGCACGCAGGCAGGACGCACGCACGCACACACACACACACACACACACACACACACACACACTTCATGTCAGCAGCGAAGGCAGCCGCCAGCGCGTTCGGACAGCCGGCGGGCCGCGCGGGAACTGAGGCACACAGAATCTGCGAGGGGAAAGGGCAGGGCGGCCGTGGAGGAAAAACGCGGGAAGAGGCCTCGGGCGTAGAACACTTCGCCACGAGGAGCGCGCAGACGGAGTGCCCCAGGCACGGGAAACCGGTGTACAGTCGGACTCAGGCCAGAAGACATCCTTCAAGAACATGAAGCCCTCCGCCGGCCAAAGCACCCCAAACCTTGAGATCATTCACTCGAGGGTACCATCCAACAAGAATTAAGAACAGGAAGGGGGCCACGAAGGGCGACAGAGGGGCCACAAAGGGCATGCATTTGAGCCCACGACGGGCGCGAACGAGCGGGGGCCACGAAGGGCAGATAATGCGGGCCCCAAAAAAGCAACGACGGAGCCACTGAGGGTAGCAACGGGTCCACCTAGGACAGCGAGGGGGCCACAAAGGGCGACAGCGGGGCCACGAAGGGCAGGCATATGGGCCCACGAAGGGCAGGCATATGGGCCCACGACGGGCGCGAACGAGCGGCGGCCACGAAGGGCATACGTGTATTGGGCCGCAGAGGGCAAGGACGGGGCCACGACGGGCAGCGACGGGGCCACGAAGGGCAGGAAGGGGGCCACGAAGGGCGACAGCGGCGCCACGAAGGGCAGGCATATGGGCCCACGACGGGCGCGAACGAGCGGCGGCCACGAAGGGCATACGTATAAGGGGCCGCAGAAGGCAAGGACGGGGCCACGACGGGCAGCGACGGGGCCACGAAGGGCAGAAGGGGGCAACGAAGGGCGACAGCGGCGCCACGAAGTGCATGCATATGGGGCCCACGACGGGCGCGAACGAGCGGCGGCCACGAAGGGCATACGTATATTGGGCCGCAGAAGGCAAGGACGGGGTCACGACGGGCAGCGACGGGGCCACGAAGGGCAGCGAGGAGGCCACGAAGGGCGACAGCAGGGCCACGAAGCGCATGCATATAGGGCCACGACGGGCGCGAACGAGCGGGGGCTACGAAGGGCATACATACATGGTGCCACGAAGGGCAGCGAGGGGGCCACGAAGGGCTGCAACGGGGCCACGAAGGGCTGCGAGGGGGCCACGAAGGGCAGCGAGGGGGGCACGAAGGGCTGCAACGGGGCCACGAAGGGCTGCAACGGGGCCACGAAGGGCAGCGAGGGGTCCACGAAGGGCAGCGAGGGGGCCACGAAGGGCAGCGAGGGGGCCACGAATGGCACCGAGGGGACCACGAAGCAGCGCAGGGGCCACGAAGGGCTGTGGTCCATGAAGGGCAGCGAGGGGACCACGAAGGTTTGCAACGCGGCCAGGAAGGGCAGCGAGATCCCTACTCCTAAGTAAGCTGCGAGGGAGTCCTGAGTGTGAGCGCAACTCCTGGGTGCCTGAGTGTCGGGAGCGCGGCGCTGGAGTAAATTGCGGGAAATTCCAACGCAAGAGCGCGATTCTTGAGTAACTTGCAAGCGAGTCTCCAGCGAGAGCGCGACTCCAGAGCGCCGAGAAAGCAATGTCCGAATCATTTGCAAGGAAGCCCCAAGCGAGATCGCGACTCCTGAGTACAATGCGAGCAAGTCTCAGGCGGGAGCGGGGATCCTGGTTAAATTGTGAGGACGTCTCAGGCGTGAGCCGTTGCTTTTGTTGTTGCAATTCGGGGGCCAACAACACAGTTTGAGCAGAGTGACTCTTCCAAATATAAGAAGTACGAGCCCCAGGGGAAGCACTTCAATTGAAAAAACACAATGGTCACCGAAGGGGGGGCATCAACAGCAATGATTCTTCAGTTGTGAGATGTCCCAGGACATTAAAACCCGTCCCTTTCGTCTTCGATCGTACACCCAATGGGGGGTAGATCTTTCTTCCCTGCATGCCTGGCCCCGGCAAGCGGCCGGGCGGCCGCGGACCGTCGGCCTGGCCAGCGGCACCGTTGACCGGCGGCAGCCCGACCCCAAGAAGGACGGACAGGGTACCGACCACGACGACGATAACGACGACGACGACGACAACCGCGGGGAGGAAGAGGGGGAGGAGGAGGAGGACGAGGAGGACGAAGGGCATATACTGCGGGGCCACAGAAGGCAACGACGGGGCCGCTGAGGGTAGCACCAGGGCCACGAAGGGCAGCGAAGGGTCCACAAAGGGCGACAACGAGGCCACGAAAGGAATGCATATGGGGCCACGACGGGCGCGAGCGAGCGGGGGCCAAGAAGAGCATATGCATATGGGGCCACACAGGGCGACAGCGGGGCCACAAAGAGCAGTAATGGACCCACGAAGGGCAGCGAGTGGGCAACGAAAGGCGACAGTGTGGCCACGAAGGGCATGCATATGGGACCACGACAGGCGCGCGCGAACGGGGGCCACGAAGAGCACACAATGCGGGGCCACCGAGGGCAGCGACGGGGCCTCTGAGGGCAGCAACGGGGCCACGAAGGGCGCGAGTGAAGGCGACCGCGGAACCACGACGGGCAGCGATGGGCATCACGAACGGGCGAAGTGCAGCGAAAGGCGACTGCAGTCCCTAACGGGCGGGTCGGGCGGGCGGGCCCCGTCGGGCGGGTCGAGCGCACGGGTCACTGAAGCGTGAATCCTGCTGGAATAGCAAGGAAATGTTTAGCGAGAGCGCAACTCCCAAGAACAGATGGAGGAAGTCCAAAACGAAAACGCGATCCTGAGTGCCGAGGGGCGGCGTCTGAATAAAGGAGCTGTATCTGAATACATTGTACCGGAGTCTCAAACTAAAGCGCGATCCCTGAGCAGATTTCAGCGAAGACTCTAACGAATGCCTGATTTCTCTATAAAAATGTGTGAGGAATATCCGGCGGGAGCAAGTGTTTTTGTAACACACGCGCCCGCCGCCCAATTTGAGGCTCAAAACTGTCCCTGGTAACAAACAGGGTGCGAGCCCCGGGTGGGGCAATCCAGTAGAAAAATACAATGGTGAAGCGAGAGCCCAACGACAACGACGACGACGACGACGACGACGACAACAAGGTTGACACGTGACCTTGTTGCCCGTTCACCAGGAAACTTTGTCATTGATTGTCCTTAAAGGACAACCCGTGACCTTGCTGCCCGGGGGTAAGCACCCCCCCAGCAACTAGCAACCAACAACCTCGGGCTCCATTCCTCTCTCCGCTGTAACTTCGCTCGCTTATGGGCGCAAGTTCCTCCTTCATGCAAGGTTTCCATGCCTGCGCCAGCGAAGCTCCGGAATCTATTGGCTCCTATATGATCCTAAAGAATCCTGTAGGGATCCTATACAATCCTATGGTGATCCCATAGAACTCCGATTGGGATCATATAGGATCCTAGAAGGATCCGATGGGATCCGATAGGGATCCTACAGGGATCCTATGGGTCCGATCGGATTCTATGACGTCCTATAGGAATCCTGTAGGGATTCGATCGGATCCTATAGGTACCCTATAAGATCCTATGGGAATCCTATAGGGATTGTATAGGAATCCCCTGCGATCCTGTAGGATCCAGTAGGAATCCGATTGGCATTCTATAGGAATCCCATGCGACCCTGTCGGGACCTATAGGAATCGCAGACGAATTGTATAGGAATCCCATGCGATCCGATCTGATCCTATAGGAATCCTATAGGGATTGTATTGGAATCCCCTGCGATCCTGTAGGATCCATACGGAATCCGATAGGGATCTGTTGGAATCCCATGCGATCCGATCTGATCCTGTAGGAATCCTATAGGGATTGTATAGGAATCCCCTGCGATCCTGTAGGATCCATACGGAATCCGAAAGGGATTCTGTTGGAATCCCATGCGACCCTGTCGGATCCTATAGGAATCGCATAGGAATTGTATAGGAATCCCATGCGATCCGAAATGATCCTATGGGAAACCTATAAGGAGCGTGTAGGAATCACATGCGATCCGGTGGGGTCCTTTAGGGATCCTATTAAGGATCGCCTAGACATCACCATCGATCCGATAGGATCCTATGGGGCTATTGTCAGGATCCCGTGCGATCCTATGGGATCCTATAGGAATCCTACAGGAATTGTGTGATAACCCCATGCGATCTCATAGGATCCTAGTTGGGCTCCTATAGGGATCCGATGCAATCCTATAGGACCTATGGGGTCCTATAGGGCTGCTATAGGGATCCTCTACGAACCTGCAGGATCCGATGATCCTATAGGAACCCTGTAGGCATGCTATAGGAATCCCATACGACCCTGCAGGATCTTATAAGATTGCTAAAGGGATTGCATGCGAACTCCATGCGACCCTATAAGATAATACAGGAATCATATAGGGATTGTATAGGAAACCTTGCGATCCGATAGCATCATATAGGGCTCCTATAAGGATCCTCTGCGATTCTATGGAACCTATAATGATCAGATAGGATATTGTAGGGAGTCTATCGGAATCCCATGCGACCCTGTAGGATCTTTTCGGGATCCTATAGGGGGTG